TAAAGTTTTTTATTTATAATACAATTAAAACAAAAATGGACATACGTGGCATTCCAGAGTAAATATTCCTAACAATTTGTTTCTCGTGATACAAAAACTTAATACATCATCCTTAACCTCTATATAAACCTCATTCTTCTACACAATACAATTATATATACAATTATATGTACAATTATATGTATGTTTCAATCCTATCATTAGCTTAAGATCCGAGCGGTTCTCCTTGATTCATACCAGCGGTAAAATTTGTCCCAGATTTCAAAATATTCCAGTTCTGTCTTATCTTTCATAGCCATTGTAAGCCTGTCCATCTCTGCACATGATAAAATTTTATACAGGATTTCTTCTTCCTTTCATCATCCTCGAGAAACTCTTAATGTTGCTTCTGAGCCTTGCCATGCACGACCCCCTCCACTTGCCAGCCATACCCAATGCGTGTAAAGCCAACCTGCTTTCCTTTGTTTTGTCTACACCAATTGCAGATCACAACCACTTTCAGGAGTGTTACTGAGTGAGTGTGAAATGTGAACCAGGAGGCAGGAAGCATGGTAGATGATGGGCAGTCAATCTGCCAATTAAAAAAAACAACTGCAGGAGAAACATGCTTGATTGAGTATTCCACCCACAATAGAAGTATGAGAGAGTTTTAAAAGCTGGTTTTCTGTTTTTGGAAAAATCTAGATTTTTTTTTTAGCTGCTTGTAACTTACCTGTGTGGTTTTGCAGCTGGCGGCATGAGATAGATGGGGCCATGTCCAGTAGAAAATTAAGGTGGGAAATCTTTGTATGGTAGCACTTGAGTATTTTCCTTTCTGGTGGTTACATGTTGTTGTCTTTTCCTTTTATTGATTATTTTCTTCTTTATTTCTCTTTTTGTTTAGTGCTTGTTTTGCTAAGACTTTTTTTGACAGTTACTACATATGATTTATAATGCTTAACTGTATTCTGAGTTATTCTTTTTTCCCCTTCTGTTTTTTTAAATTCTGTCATCACTTCAATGTTGTACCTCATGAGTTCTGTTCTTATTTTTACTTGGTTCAACCATTTATCAATTGTCCCCTTGTCTTTATGAATTTATTTGAACTACCCATTTTAATGACTGAGGTGGTTTTTCCCTTGTCTAGTCTCTTTATTTGCTTGTCTTGTGGTTTTGACTATGTTTGGCATTTATTGCATAACATAAATAAATGGTTTATGCTCATTTTAGAGTTATGGTTATTGCTTAACTTGCTCCTTCTTCTGCAGAGAGAAACTATTTTCCTATATTAGTTCAGAGTGGAGAGTGCTTTGTTGAGTCCAAGAGTGCTCAGTCCAAAGAGCTGCTTCATCTTGCTTGCTTGGCTACTTGTAGTCACTTGGCTTAAGACTGACAAAGATCTGTGAGGTTTGGGGGAGATAAGTAAATTCGATATTATCTCTGGGAGAGTTTTATTCCTGGTAACTGGAACCAGCCTTACAAAGACTTTTTGATGTTTCCAAAATATCGCTTAGAGAGCAGATCCTGAAACTTGGGATTTACTGAACTGAAACTACTCTTCTGGTTCAGAAGATCCCCAGTCCCTAAGGCATGTTCTTCAATTGATTTGAACTCAGGTTTGTCTTCTTTTACAGATTTACTGGCCACCTCTTCCTGGGCAGAAAGAAGAATGCTTCCGGAAAGGAAAGGACATAGCGGTAGGTCATCCCATTGCTTGTAAAATGCTTATGCTAAACTTCATCTCCACTCTGTGACATATTTGAAATGAATTTGCAGTTTCTAAAAATATCTGCGGTCACCTTGGATTTTCTTTTTCCAAAAATTTCGTTCAGTCCTTCTTCTACACAAAGGATTCATCCATGGTTGAACATCACTCCCTACCCTAACTTAAGCAAATTGCATTCTGTGAGGAAGGAGATTGGGGATCTATTTCCTCACTCGTACCTACCCACAGCACAAAAATGACTTGGTATCTGCTGTGCCCTATGGCATTCTTGATTTCATCCCCAGCTGAATGAGGCTTAAGTTGTCCCGATCTGTACTATTAATGCATTATTTCCCCTTTATTTTGACATCATCAAAGAGCAAACTCAAGGAGTGTAAAAGTTTTATTACTCATAGGCATGACGGGAAGGGAAGGGAACAGATATAGTCAGGGTATATAAGTTGTTAGTGGGACAGTAAATTTCACGCTAGCATAGTTGTCCATCTACTCAAGGATAGGTGGATAGCACTTTAATAAAGCAGGTGGGGAAAATGCCAGTGTTGACTTTGCACCATGCTTTATTTTAGCTCATACATTTTCCAGCATAGGCTGTTGCCCTGGCTCTCATAGCCATGTAAACAAGTCTTCCAAGGTCTTGCATTTGTTGGGAATCATATACTGTCTTAGCAAGCTTACTTATTGTATAAGCTCAGGCTATTCTGAATTGGTGGTGTATTGTCCAAAGTCCCTTAGGTTTTTTCTTCCTAATAATTACATAGGAGAGGAACCTTCCTAAATCAGGTCAGATATTTATCTGGTCTTAAATCCCACTTTAGACACCAGCCAGATACCTAGGAAAATCCACAAATAGGGCTTAAAGTCAGCAGCTTCTCCTGTTGTAATCTCCAATCAGTCGGTATTCAGTTCCATGCAGTCAGTTAATCCAAGAAAAGCAGGGATGAGAAAATCTGTCAATATCGGTTTTGCTCAGTTTTTCATGTTTTCCAATGCTAAATTTGTTCCATGCTACTTTGGCATCTCTTCTGAGTTGAGTTTTTTCTTGTAGTGCTCACAAAAAGTAAATGCTTCCTATTTATGTACACGTTTTTGTAAAAGTTTTTCCTAAAGTATATATTTTATAGGCATTTTTTCCTAGCATGACATAGTTTTGATTGTTGT